ACATTCAGTTTAATTAATATAAATTAATAATTAATTTTAGTAAATTGTTTATTTACATAGTATAGGAATTAAAAAGCAAAAAAAACGCAATATTTCTATGATCTGAGACAAATATTTCACACTTTTTAAATTGATGGAAATATCACATACTTTCTTTAATGCACGATGTATGTGCGATTCATCTGAACTATTTGATATAAAACCTTAAAAGATAAGTTTTATATTTGTAAGTTTTATAATATTCTGTACATTTTATTTAAGACGAGACTTGGACACGATCCGAATGATTTCGGCACAATCTTCTTTAATTCCAGACAAAAAACTTTTGAATTGTTCGAAAGTAGTATTCTGTGCGGCTTAAATAATGTACAATTTTGGCACGATATTTCCGGATTATTTATTTCAAAACAAACAAACATTCATATTATGTTATTGCCGGGACATAGTATTTAACGATTTAGACAGTTCACCGCCAATATATAAGTACATATTTTTTACAATGCGTTCTCTAGTCTCTGAAAATGCACATAATTTAATATTCTCTCTTGGATTTGGATTTATAATAGCCCATGATTTTAAGTGTTCACACAGATGTCGAACAACGTGCTTTAACTATATGCCGACACACATTTTTTCCGTTTTGGTTTGTTGTTCCACTGACTTGGACAGTTATTGATTTTGTTGTTGAAACGGATTACTTGTATACGAGTAAATCTCGTGCTATACCCACGTCCACCTCTCATGAAACAGTCGACTGTTTCCGGTTTTCGTCGAAGTGAAAGTGCGCCATCAAATGTCAAAATGTCAGAGGAAGCCATTCTTTTACAATACTGCATCATTTAAATATATTGTTCGGTCGGCATGTTTGCTTTGAAGAGTGTTAGTAAACGTTGTTTTCACAACGAACATATTTACTATGGTTAAACTTTGTGTTGTTGCCAGATGCAGCAATACGTATAGTGATAGTGTGAGTATTAACGCGTTTTCAAGCTATCCGAAGGTGCAACATCAATGGGCGAAGGCCGTAAAATCAGTGAAACGTTGAAATGAACTCCGTCAGCCCGTCAAATCTCGGCTATTGACTGCCAAGATGATAGGACAAGGGTTATTGATTCCTCAACTTAAACGTGCATTTAAGGTAGAGATGCAGTTTACCGGACAAGTATTTTAATTAGTTAATTAGGAAACCAAGATGACCTCCCTTGTTCATAAAACTATATATTTTCGGAATGCTTATTGTATGAATTTTAAAGTTTTGTTAGTATTTTATTTTTACGGACACTGTAGTTTGAAATATGCACAAAAATGTGCTTTTTTGGTCAAAAGTGATTTAAAAAAAATAGCTTCTAAACCATGCTTCTGTTTCCTGTCAAAATTGGTTTATGGGTACATCTGTTTACTATGAAGAAAGTGCCGTCTTGAAAACTGTCTATCAGTTGTCAATTTTGTAGGGCAGCAGCTCAAATTTCAATACTTCAAGTTTAAGCATAAATTAACAACCAGGCTAGTTGTTTGTACGATTGCTGTAACACTATTCAACTAAAAACAATGCCCCAACGGCGTTTTGAAGATAAACACATTGTTAATCATTTGTGAAAATTTCAAAACAAAAGGTCAAAGCGTCTAGAAGCTATTTTTTTTTGGCTGTTACAGTTTCAAATTTAAATGTATTATCGTTTTGTAAAACGTTAAATACAGTGCATAATGTGGAGATCCCGTTATTTCTTTTTTTCACCATGTTTTTTTTGTAATATTTATGTACAGCCTTGCTAAATCTTGCTAAGCATTCAAAAGAGATAATGTTTGCACCTGTTATCTATATTTTAAAATCGTTTTTTGAGTATGTTCCACTATTCACAATTCTACAAAATTTTAACAGTCTATAGCCAAGACTGTCTGGATAATAAAAAGCAAAAAAAACAAAAATGTTCACTCCCAAGTGCCCACGAACCTGCATCTCTACCTTAAGAAGTTGTTTGGTCACCATCATGATTTGGTGGCTTCCTGTGGGATGTCTGTCTGTAACATGATTTCAGATTTGTTTGTTGATTGATGTGTCGGTCGTGTTTGTGATTGTGTGTTTGTTTGTCCAGTAAAAATGATATGACATTGTTCCCTGACATGACATCACGGCGGGTGTGGCATGCCAGCAGCAGATGCTTACCCTTCACGTGCACCTGGTCTGACTACCTTGTGGGGGTTTGTGATGTTCTGCTTCCATTGATTTTGTCAGTATATTTTTTTCTAGACTACTGATATTTGAAGAATGGCTTATTGGTCCTACTATAATTATTGATGTTAGAAACCCACTTTTCACTTTACATATTTATTTTGTAATAATAATAATGATGCACCAATAAATAAGTGCAAAATGGTATTTTTTTTTCATTGAACCATTTCCATTTTTAACTATTCTAACCGAGCGTTCAGTGCGAGTGAAGCTTTCATATAATGTAAGCAAAGTTGTCTACTAAAGCTAAAATATGATGCTACTTCAATAAATATCGCAAAATTAGGAACAAATCAGAGATGAAATCAGTGTCACTCTAAAAACATCATTACGAAAAAAAACACAGTATAAACATCCAACATGAGCAACCATGTTGACATTCTGACAAAGCGATTGAATTCACAATTTATTACCTCCAGTTCATATTCTTGATGTTCCAATTGATTAAGTGCCCATTCATCTGCATCTAATACTATATATTCCTTGAGAAAAAAAATTGTTTAATTTAATGAAAAGCATTTTGTATAGTAATCTACTTTGTGGTAAACCCAATGGTAAACTTATGTGAAAGGCAAATATTGCGTAAAGAAAATTGATATTTATCGCAATGAGACATAATTGGAATAGCAAACCTACAATGATACCCGCCACTTACATAAAATTATACTCGTATTCGAATACACTACCCAAATGAGTCACATCCATACACTAATTTACTGTTACGATAAATAATGCATTATAATATAGGAATATGTGAAGACACAAGTGTCATCCAACTGTAACATCCTATGTAGAATCAGAAATATATGAATGGGACCAAACTACATTATTCTATATGAGAATTCATGTAGTTTCGAGTCATAAACGGCAGCACCAATTCGCCCATCCAGTCAACCACAATAATATGGCCCACAAAGAATGTCACTTTGATATATGATAGTTCGTACATCATCGACTGCATTAATTATATGTAATGTGATGTTATTCACGGATCCATTGTGTAATTTATTTGTAATTTAAAAATGTCACATCGAAAAAATGATGACCTTCAAATATAGCTCTAACAAATTCGTCCACAGGGTATACTGCTTATTGATATTGCTTAAAATAAACGCTGAAAGAACCCAGTTGAATAATATACTGTTTATTTACAACATTTGTATTTGAACACAAACCTCATCATCAATGATGTTGTTGTCAAGTTGTTTAAAAAATACATACGCCGGGTGGATTGCATCTAAGAACACAACGTCATTGCCAAACCTATTTCTGCATTCTGTAACAGGAAGTCATATATAGAGTTATAACATACGATGACATGCTAGGCAATATTCGATTTAACAAATGTTATATCTGAGTATTGAATGAAGAATTAATGAACTGCTTCATTGACACAAATATTTCAACATTGTTTAACATTACCTTCATTTCTTGTCAGATGTAGACCCTCTAGCGCTTCTTTCAGTCTCGTCTCATCCACAAAAGGAATTCGAACAACACCTGAAATGTTAACATATATGTATTATTGCCCCTGTTCATATTAGCATATTTGCGAGTACGCCAATTAGAATGATCAAAATATACGGTACTGCCGATTGTTTTTTTTTTGCAGACTATATTGTGTCTACATTACAATTATTGTATCCGAACATGGCACTTAGTGCCTTCCTTGTTTTTATTATGTTCCCATGGCAATGAATAGTATTAATAACTAGATATTATATCAATATAAGATTCCAATAAAGTGTTTCCATGCCATTTGCTAATGCATTTATACCTTGTTTTTTATATCTCTCACCATTCAAATCTATTTCAAAGTCATCAGGATAGAAATCTCTAATAGGAGAATCCTGCAAAATAAGAATAATTCATGTAATCAGGATGAAATGGGTTACATGTATATTGCAAAAAATTATAATTGAAGAATATAAGGTTATTACGAGGATACGTCAAACTATGAACCAAGATAGTAGAGCTGGAGTATCGAACAACGCGCCGCGTACTGTCCGAGTACGTATTTGTGTGGAGTCCGGTCAAACTTTAGTGGCAGCCATGTTTTTTTTTTTTCATTATTAGAGGACGACGCTTACGCGCGTAATCATTCCATATTTGGAATTCGCATTTCCGAATAGGTAGGATGAAAATACCCCGTAAAATACCGCAAAATTACGCTGTAACTTACGGCGTTACGGTGGCAGATGTATAGTAATATCATATATTGTATAAACTCACACCAGGTTCACCGGTCATTAAAGGTCTCCATGTCATTGGTAACAAATGATCATTACTAGGTGGTAATATCGCCATCAACTGTTCAAGCGGTTTCAGCTGTAAACAAATACAATATGATTATTATACGGCCCACGTTTGTAGAATGTCACTGGAATTACATTTACATGCATCACATTTACTATTTCTTACACAAATATTTAACAAGTGATAGTTTATTCATAGACCCTAGGTTTTCAGAACTGATAGGTACTTGACTGTTGTATGCTGCATGGAATTAGCTTCTCAACTAATCCAATGAAAAGACAAGAAAAAGTCTTACTGGCTCGCCGACTTCAAAGTCATTTTGTAGATGGGTAATATTTTTGAAGTCCATAGCAAATGGAGCATAATGGTATGGATAAAACCACTGCCAGGATGGACAGCCATGAAAATAATACATTGATATCCAACATAGACCCTTTACAAAAGAGTTGGCCTGTAATATGAAGCATAGCAACATTATAAGATGATTGATACTGGATAGAGCACTGAATCTAATTATGTGAGATACTGCCTAGTAGATTTGAAATGAATAACTATATCTTTAAATTCACCAAATTGGTATTAACACATTCGCGTAACCCTGCAAACATATTAATTACAAGTTACTACACAACCACTGAATTCATGTAATGATGAAAAGTAAGATAACAATTAAAATTTGAATAATTATTACTATCGAACATAAAAACTCACCAAATTGTTTATAAATTCAGGTTCATGTGATGGTGACACATCAAACTTGTATTTATAGTATCGATCTTTCCATCCATCCATACCTAGCCTGACAATGAAACCATATAAAACACGTTTGTGAAGACTATTATTAATGTCATATAATAAATGCACCTCCACCTCTTCTTTATGCTAATGTTTATGATAACTTGTAGTTTT